CAATACAAAATGCGTTGTGGAGAGATAGCGAACGCACGAAATGCTGTTTTTTTTCAATGGAACCGGTGGCTCCGAAGCTGGCAAGTCAAGGTCTGCGGAATGACGGGTGCGAGACGGTCTCGGATCATTCTCGGATCATGCTCGGAATCGTCCGTCCATTAAAATTAGATTTTTCACTTGTTTCTTGAAGTGAAGATTTCCTGGCAGGCACAGCACTTTGGGAACCTCCATGTGCAGATTTCGTGGCAGGTGCAGCACTTTGTGAACCTCCATGTGCAGATTTCCTGGCAGGTACAGCACTTTGGGGACCTCCATGTGCAGATTTCGTGGCAGGTGCAGCACTTTGTGAACCTCCATGTGCAGATTTCGTGGCAGGCACAGCACTTTGTGAACCTCCATGTGCAGATTTCGTGGCAGGCGCAGCACTTTGTGAACCTCCATGGGCAGATTTCCTGGCAGGCACAGCATCTGGGGAGCTGGAAGCTGAGAACTGGTGACTTTGTAGGACAACTTTAGTACGCGGAGCAATGTGTGAGCTGGAAGCTGAGAACTGGCGACATTGTAGTGCACCTGTCGTGCGCGGAGTATCTGGCAAGCTGGACCATGAGAACTGGCGACTTTGTAGTACAACTTTAGTATGCGGATGAGGCATCTCTCGCTGCTGAGTCATCTCTTGCTGCTGAGTCCTGTCTCACTGCTGAGTCATCTCTCACTGCAGAGTCATCTCTCGCTGCTGAGCCATCGCTCGCTGCAGAGTCATCTCTTGCGGCTGGGTCGTCTCTCACTGCTGACGTATCTCTCGCTGGGGAGTCATCTCTCGCTGCTGAGTCATCTCTCGCCGCTGAGTCCTCTCTCACTGCTGAGTCATCTCTGAAGAGATCGCCGCTGATTTCGACGACGACGAAGGTTCAGGCATGGAGTACGCAAGTTGTGGGCTGGGATGCTGCGCTGTAGATGCGTGTTGCGCTGTAGGCATGAAATGAAGGCGTGAGACGAAAGGCAAGCTTTCCGCAGCCGTGTCTCTGTACTGTATACTGAATGCAGAGCGTGAGTTTAGAGACACATCAAACACGCAGAATCAGACGAATCACAAGCACACTTTCAGAGTCACGTAAGATATAGAGGCGCATAGTCCAAGTTTGTGAGAATGATATAGTGTATCTGACGGTCAGACCAGCATGTCAACAAAGGACTTTGGAGACTGTCGTGCATGTTAGGAAACTCGCTGTTCGGCATTGGTGCGTCGGTGTGGACTGCCATGTCGAGCAGTAAGCGCGCGATGGTGGTTTCGCCTGCCGAACTCAGCCAAGCGGGACGCATGCCGGACGCATACCGTTGCGGGCTGCTCCGCCAATACTTTCGTTCGCCTGCACAGCTTCTCAGGAATTGTCCTGGAGTATGCCGTTGCGGGCTGCTTCGCCAATACTTTCGTTTGCCGTAGGCTTGGCTCCTTTATGCTGCCTGTGGGGGTGTGCCGCAGATTTTTCGTAAACAGTGACGGAGTACGTCGTTGCGGACTGCTCTACCACAGCCTTCGTTGACCGCGCTGAGCAAACATGCATGGGACGAGGTGAAGAAAAGCAAAGCTGTGGGTGGTGTGCTGTAGGCATGAGATGCATGCAT